GCGATTTGGGAGAAACTAATTTAGGGGAGAAAATCATGTTATACTATTTTTAAGTCAGGGGTAAATGTCATTTTTTGAAGTTTTTTAAAAGTCCAATTTTACAAATTTGCCCCACATGGTTTATAAAACTAACCCAAAGGTCCCTACGAGTTTGAGCCACACAAGGCTCGCGAGCTCACCAACCGAGCCTCCCCCTGATCGAACTCAACCTGATCACCCCATTGAGTTTGAGCCGAGTCGACTTGACTAACCACGAGTTGAGCTCTTGACGAGCTCTAGACGAGTCGAGTCGAGCTAGCTCGCGAGCCGCTCGACTTGTCTGACACCCTTAGATAAAGTTATCTTCTAACAAATTATCAATATGAAAGAAAGAATTGACAATAATGTTTCCAAGGAGTTTCGAACACTGACTTTAATCTAGAATATACAATTGCAGAATTTTAATATCAAATTAGTATAAATATTATTTGATGACAACAATTTATGAATTCTCAACTCTAAAAGAAGTAATTGCAACATGTTTCATCAGAATTAAGAGACTTTTAATTTATCAAACCAAGCAAAGTAACTTCTGCTTCCATGATGCAAGTGTCATTAACCAAGTAACCCAGTTTCGAGTCCTTCAATTTAGCCAATGGCATGAATTTTTCTGCATCTTGGGCCTTCGAAAACAACGGACAAGGGAACAAGATGTTATCTAAAGATAAATAACAAAAAAACCTCCATCAAACTCAAAAGAAACCAAGAAATTTACACAACTCAAAATATTTGTGTGCACATCATAGACGTACTTTGAAATAAAAAGTCTTTTCCGTTCATTTGATCTTTGACACGTAGAATGAAATTCACAAACAATTTAGTATTGTCAGGAATACTTGAAGCAAGAATAAATAGATAAAGTGAAATGTAGCTGCCCTTGCCTTCTCCAACTCCTCTAGGGATGAAACCAAATTGCCTGCAAAACATTAACAAGCAACTTCATAAGTAATTTGAGTAGCAAAAAGAAGTAAATTAAATCAATAAGTGTTAGAGGAATTTTTTATATACCATTTTTGGTCTCCAAATGACACAGAGTAATGATATTGATCACCAGATAAAGTCGAAAAATTATTAACTTTCCAAGTATGGAAATAAGTAGTAGGCTCCTTCACCATGGATAAGCGCTCCCCTTTGAAAGTGCTTTTGACAACAAAAACCTCCGCACCAAATACACAAGTGTCATCTATAAGGTATCCCTTTAAAGGGTTATGAAACATTTCCAAGTCTATAAATTTAGTGATTCCCCATTCAGTCTTCATTGCATGGTAACGTCTTTCAATCCACTCTGCGGGATAAACATGTAAAGTTGCGATAATTATACATTGTCGAGGGAAAAATATAAGATGCAAACAGATGCATAAAAAATTATACAATGATATATCATTGTATTGCCTGTGTATATCAAGTGCATTAATGTAATATATTATCATTAGATGATTACTAGTGCATTTCACAGAAGACTATTCCCTATTGTCGAGGACTTACCTCGTACAACAATATACTTGTTTTGAAGTTGATCTAATATGAAAAAATTGAAAACCACGTTCACATCCCACCCAGAAGAGAACGAACTCGTTTCCGTTAATGCTAAATAAATAGAGATAAAACCTTCCCCATCTTTCTGCTTGTCCCCAGATAGGTCGAGAGACAATTTCCTATCATTTTCATATTAAATTGCAAAGTTTGTAAGAGTTAGAACATTTAATGTATTTCATCCATACAGTAGAATTGAGAATTGTCATAATAATGTTTTAAACATATATAGTTTATTTTAAATACTTAAGAGATAGAGCAGAAAGCGTATATATACCATTTGTAGCCTCCTGCATCAAACTGGTTTGAGGTGTACTTTGGTAGAGGAGCTTTAGATAGTAAAGAGAAAGACTCGATTTTGAACAAGTAATGACTAGGTGGAGCATCCCTTCCTGAAATCAACGGATTAAAAGAATATATACATTTCTTGGTGAAACAAGAAATAATTTAGGTGAAATAACCAGACAATATAAATCATTCATAATGAGTTAATATAATTTTAGCATTAGACTTGGTTACTTAATTTCTGGTAAGCATGGAAGATATAGCTGTTAAAATGTTGCCTTCAATAAAGAGCTGAGTGTCCATGTTCAATTGCTTGCAGAGATTGACTGTGAATTTGATTTTACAGATGTAGATTTAAACTAGCTAGGATGATCTATATAAATTAAAATGCCTTGTTAATGAGGTTTTAAATTTTTAATTGCCTCTTGTTCATGGAAAGGAATGACCTTCAATTTCAGAATTTGATTGTTCACGCCCTCACATATACACAAACGAATAAATCCAATGTTAGATAAGAATCAACCGATTTCTTAACGTATATCATACATAATTTTTACTTAATAATAAGGTTACATATATATCTTGTAGCTTGCTAACTCTTTCGTCCCTCTATTAAGGTTAAAATAAAAATAGTATAAATTGCATCAACTGAATAGATAAAAAATAAAAATAATTTTAAGGTTTGAACTTGAAGAGACATTATTCATTTGGATTATTCTCTAAACCCCCTAACTATATCAATCTTACATTAAACCCCTTTTTCAAACTATTCACTATTTTTCAATTCTCTGGCTTGGATTTTCATTTTAAAAGGCATATTCCTTTTCTTGGGCCTCTCCGAAACAACTTTCAGTTTATTTGCTTCTTGTTCATGGAAAGGAATGACCTTAAATTTTCAGAATTTGATCGTTCATGCCTTCGCAAATACACAAACGAATATATCTAATGTTAGATAAAAATCAACTCATTTCTTAACGTATATCATACACAGTTTTTACTTAATAATAATATTACAGATATACCTTCCTTGTAGCTTGCTAGTGATGAGTTGCCTCTTTCGTCCCTTTATTAAGGTTAAAATAGTATAAATTAGTAAAATTACATCAAAGGAATTGATAAAAATCAAAATAATTTTTAAGATTTGAACTTGAAAGGGACATTATTCATTTGGAATATCTCTAAACCCCCAAACTATATCTATATTTGTAAAAAGCCCTTTTTCAAATCAGTCACCCTTTTTCAATTCTATGGCTTGGATTTTCATTTTCAAAAACATATTCCTTTTCTTGGGCCTCTCATAAACAACCTTCGATTTCTTTGTTTCTATTTGTACTATTGGCCTGCTTTTCCTAGACTAAATAACCCAAAATCAATGGCTCTTGCTGGGGTCTGATGTTTATGCTATTTATGGTGGTACATTTGAGCAAGAAAAATTGAGATTGATTTTATTTGTGTGAAGGAGATGGGAAGAGAATTATTAATTCTGAGTGGGATTATAGATGGTGTTTGGTGAATGATTTTGGAGTTCTATTTTTTTATTTTTTTTATTGGGTTTTTGTTTTACTGTTTTCACTTTCTGGGATTTATTTTCTTCTTGGAGATGTAATATCAGTTGATATATTGCAAGGAGTCTCTTTGGCTGTGAGCTTGATAAACGTTTGGAAGGAAAAAATTATGTGAGCAGTGAAAAGCTTGGAAGCGGAAGGAGTGACAAAGAGCTTTAATTTTTATTGAGTAATGTTACACTTACAAAGAAATCTTATAAAGAGTTTCATACAAAGTGATGTGACAAAAAATGAATAAAAGAGTGAATATAATGAGTTTGACTTTTTGTTTCACTCTTACATTAATTTTTTGTCACCTCAGAAATCTTTGTAAATATAATATTATTGATTTTTATTTTATCAGATGAGGTATTTTAGGGTCCATTTGTTTTATTATTTCAAACCCTATTCCCTATCCTATTCTCAAAATACATGTTTGTTTAATTATTTGGGAAATGCTATTCTATTTTTTCATTACTGTTAGACCCCTTAAGTTTATTAATTTAATTAAACACCCCTAGAAAAAAGTTTAAAAATTAACAAAAACACCCCCACTCACCCATAGTTGCCGGAATCTATCACAACAGCGTAGAAACGACTGAAACTGGCCAGTAATTCACCGATCTGGCCTTTTCCGGTCAGATCCACAATGGATCTGGCCGAAAAAGGCCAGATCTAGCCATCATCAATGACCAAAGAAATGGCCATTGTTGACCGACAACGATAGCTAGATCTGGCCTTTTCCGGCCGTCGACGGCCAAATCTGGCCATAGATCTGGCCTTTTCCGGCCAAATCCGTGGTGGATCTGGCCGGAAAAGGTCATATTGACGCACAACCGGCCAAATCCGACCGGTTTGCATCGTAATACCATTTTCTGACCAGATTTTGACAGTGATGGCCGGAATCTGGCACTGTGGGTGGGTGGAGGTGTTTTTGTTATTTTATAAAAATTTTATATATTGGGGTGTTTAGTTAAATTAGCAAACCTATGGGGTTTTTTTGTTAAATTTTAAATTTTACCTTGTAATACTCACCCTATTCAACTATCCAATATTATTCTCAAAATCTTATCCAAAATAACAAAACAAACGCACCCTTAAGTGTCTGGAGACAGATTCAAGTAACCCTAGCTAAAGGTAGGGGGTCGAAAGAATTTTCGGGAACTCGAGGGGGTTTAGTAATATTCCCTTAAGTCATTTCTTAAGGTTAAATTAATTATTTAAGCTTGAATATTATTTCAAATATTTAACAGATTGATCACTATTTATTAACATAATTTCAAGTATTTTTATTGCAAGTCCAAGGTAGTCAGCCATAAAATACTGTAGTAAGATAATTAAAAGTTTCAAGATTTCCAAACTGGGATTATAAATTATTTCAAGTTATTTATAAAAAAGAATTTACTATTTAATTTTTTGTTTCTGAAAATTAAAAATAATTAATCATAAATAATTAAATACCATTGCCTGAACCCAAATTCAAACCCAGACCCGGCCAAAGCTAAACCGCTGTCCGTTTACTTTAACCAGTAAAGCCCTAATACTAAAACCCTCTTGAATCAAATCCACGACTGTTTACGCGTGCTTGAAATGAAGAAGAAAACGGGTTCGTGAGCATCGGATTTTGATTCGAGGAGACATATACATACTTTAATGATGTTGAAGATTGTAAGAGGACGACAGATTTTTTGCTCCAAGTGTTTCACTAATCAACTTCTCCTTGCTAGAAATAGAACCGGTGAGTGAAACAAAAGAAACCCCACTTTCTTTCTCCAATGTTGTTGATGGGTTTTCAATATTTTTGCATTTCTGTCATCATAGGCTACTCTGCTTGTGGTTGCTGTGTTTTCTGTAATACAAAAGAAATGGGCGCTTAAATTGTGTTGTGATCTTGTTGTATTCTTATTACTATATTATGGACTAAATATTGTCCTGTCTTTAGCAAGCATTTAGTAGACGAAACGAAATCAAATTGAGATTTTTTTTTTTCCTCTTATGATTTTAGCGTATCTGATGAATTGCAAACAGAGCCATGATTTTAATATGTGATGATGCCCATGAATTTTTGTAGAAGGAATTTGTCACCAGCCTTTGTTATGGTTGCTAGAAGAAAATTAAGGAACCTTTCAATTTTAATCCTGACCGGGGAGGTGCCTGTCGAGTATGGTTGGTGAGATTTACATGATTGTAATATGGTGAAAGGTGTGATTTTTAGACACGGATGTTAGTATTGTAAAGTGTGAAACATGAAAATCTTAAGATTGGATGAGAGGAGATGACTAACAGTGTGTTTCTATTCATGTATTCACGTTTTCTTTGCTTTTAGAAGAACCATATATGGTGAAATAACTACGTAGATGTGAGGAAAATTAATGTTAGGTCACCTATAACTCTAGTCTGTACAAGTATTGTATAGGATTGGAGACTATGATGTTATAAAATGATAACAATGCTCTATGATGCTTGAACTAGAATCCAAGAGAGTAACCCATATATTTTTTAATATTTTTTTTCTTGTGTTTTCAATGTCTTAACTGAGCCATTTTTAATGCAGAAGAAAATGTCATTCAATGTCTCTGTGGTTTGTTGAATTTTAACTGTTTGAGGTTGGAGATGATAATGCTTCTCATTTTCTCATTTGATAGCTCATATCTTATCCTGAAAAATGGTTTTTTTTTTTTTTAAATTTCCTTTTGAAGTTTTAAATTATCATTCTGTAAGAAAATCATGCAATAATATGCAACCTTGATACTTGACAGTTCTTACTGAGATAAACAATGCTGTATACGGGTCAAATATACAATGGCGTGGAAGGTCACAGGCTGCCTGTGTTCCTTCTGACGTACCAAAAGCCAAAAAAGGTCACAAAAAGGTTTCAAAAGATGAACGGCGTGCTATGGTGGAATCTTTCGTGAACAAGTATTTATTTTTATTTGTTTTCACATATGTAGTTGATTTTTTTAAAACTACTCTGCATATATGGTACTTTATAACTTGTCACCCTATTTTTTAATGTATTTAGAGAATGTGCCAATTTCAACTGTGCATGTAAATCATTCAGAATGAGATTTTTTTTCTTTATTTCTTCCAATTAAACCAGTATATTGGGATAGCCTTTTCCCTAATGAAAGATCAATCTAGAGAAGTGGGGATATTAACATGTAGCTTTATGAAGTTAGTGTAGTGTAGAAGATGTAGAAATGCTTAAATTGTTTTTAGACAGACAAGAATCGGTGGCACCATTAGTTTTTCTTTCTGCATATTTTGGTAGAGCCTGCCATGTATTTAGGGAGGCCAAACAGGTCTGTAGATGCATGTCGTTGAAATGAGAGTGTTCAGATTTATCTGCTCAATTAGAAGAAAATATGAGATAAGAAATGAATAAATCCACCAGATAATGTTGGAAATTTCACTATTTTTTTTTTTAGTAAAGAAATGAAGACCTTCAGTCGAATGGATTCAGTTTGTCATCTTGATATGAAATGTGTTTTCATTTCTTTTTCCTTTTGGGGTGGACTGGAAAGTGAGGAACCATGTCTTTTGTAATTTGAGTTCTATAATTTATTGTCTATTTCTATGCTTTTTATTGTCTTTATATTTATTGTTTGTAGAGTAGAATATGTAAACTAAAACAAAAGTTTGTGTTGAAATTTACCATTAATTTGATGTTGTGCAGTTACAGAGCTACACATAATGGAAAATTCCCAACTGTGACCAATGCTCAAAAAAACGTGGGTGGTTCTTTCTATGTTATTAGGACAATTCTTCAGGAACTAGAATACGAATCTAAAATGTCATCTTCAGACAGACGGACTGATAAAAATTTAGGAGTAGGGGTAATAAAAAAGAATAAAGTGACAGTGGATGTCGATGTCGATGTGGAATCTCAAAATGAGCTCCATAAGATAGTTGCTCAAGATGTGGAGATTGTTGATACCAGTGACAGACATCTAGAAACTGAGGGAGGGCCTTTGGCCTCCTCTGTGGCTGGGAGGACCTTGTTTGAAGAGGTTGCAAAGCCTGCGGTTCATGTATGTATTTGATATCTTTCAACTTTTATTATTATTATTATTATTTTTTTTTTTTTTTTTTGGGAAAATGAGAAAGGTACTTGTTCTATGGAAAGGTCCGTTTAGTTGAATCAGAGGTTTTACACCACTTAGGATCAGTAAATTGAACTTCTGGCTGATGTCCAAGGAGGTTGGGAGGTTGATTGTGGTAATTTCTCCCTTTGGAAGTATAATGCTCAGCTGGCAGATGTTTTAGGCATCATCTTGAGACAACAATTTCAAAGTGTTTATACATATTTTTCTTATATTACTTTGTTGTGGTCTATTAATTGCAAAAATGTGGTACTGTGAAAAGAAGAATATTGTCACCAGGTAAAATGTCAAGGTAGCTCGGCACCATAAGTGGTGTTGGCACTTGTTTCTGGAAACTGATAAACTTCCTTTATCCTAACAGTAAAAAAAAGCATGTCCATATGTTATTATGCAGCATGCTTTCACTTGTTTCTCTTCTAAACATGATACCTAAAATGAAATGGCGGTTTGGAAGACATTTCTACAGAAGAATTATGAAAAATAATGTGTCTATGGGTCAAGATAGTTTTTGTTGAACTTGTATAAATAGGTGCTACACAAGTTACTGCTGCTACTTCTCTGTATTTTAGAGGACTAATTGGCGACTCATTGATTAGGCCTCTTTCTCATTTGTTCCTGCTTAAAAATTTTATTTATTTATTTTTATTTCCTGTTACAAGAGTGAAATGTCTTGTATACCTTAATATTGCTTATTCTTTATTGATTCTTGCAGGGTGGTCAGTCTGGTAGTGAAGATGGTGAAAAAGAAGCTGTGGGTGTTTCTTCTAATTTTGTTGCAAGTGAACGTCGTATCTTAGAAGGAGAAACTGAGGAAGTATCTCATCCACACTTAGTAAATGCAGATGAGAAAGAGGAACAAAATAAGTCGGACTATTTACTGGATCCTGGTGATGTAAAGCGCAAAGACGAACCATATAAAGGGTCTTCTGAACCTGAACAGAATGCAGTGTAAGTTTTATATGACCATAGTGATTATAAACTCTGTAGTGTCTACATTCATTGGGATATAATAACTGGGGGCTTGATGCCGACAACAATGAGTAACTAGATTAAAAATGAGTCAAGTTTTGGGCTTTGCTTTTAGACTTTTGTTTCTGCAGAATTCAGAAGTTTCCTTTTTCTTCATCTGCCACAACTGGGAAGCTGCTTTGTCCTGATGAACATTTTTTTTAGTAATTCTTTTCCTGGTTGCTGTTTTTTGGGGACATATGTGGAGTTCTGTTTTTGTTTGGAATCATCTAGTTTTTGATATTTTTAAGGTGTTTGTTGGATTGCTTATCCACTATTAAAGTTCCCTACTTGTAAATCATCATCTTTTATACAAAAAGTTTTTCTTTTTTTTTTTTAATCCAGAAAAACAATACTAGTAACAAGTTTTTAAAACGGTTCCTGTATCTGGTGGGAGTTTATTGGGAACTTTAGAGAGGCCTATCTAATAAAATATTGCATTTGATCTGAAAAAATGTACTACAGTCTCTTGCTCTATGGGTTTTGGATCTAGTCTTATTAATGTCCCTTTACATACAGGCCAAGTTAGGTTTAGAAAATATTTAGAGTTTACAACTACATCTGTTTCAGTCTTCTTTGTTTTGGGGGTTCATTTCACATTGACCTTGAGAGATTCCAAACCATGATGGTGTTTATAATTTGCTTGCTGTTGAGTGTGCACAATCCAATTCAGACACCTTGAAGCAAAACGTTCTTTGGTCACTGAAATTCTTTTCGAATTTGAAAATTATGTTTTTTGTATAATTGTCCTTGTTTGACCCTATTGTGGGTTATTCTGCCATCTTAAATTTATAATATGTGGAATTCGTTTAGCTTGGCTTAATGTTTATTGCAGAAATTGTTGTCATTTTTATTTCCCCGTAAATCATAAGGATCTTATTTTTCTATTCTTCTGTGCTTTTATAAATTCCTCTCCGCACATATGAATATCAAAATAAAAGTCAAATTTCTATGTGCAGTGACAATTCTAGTAGCGAGGCTAAAGATGAAGTTTCCAAGAAATCAACCTTGTGGGGAAACCTAAAGTCATTTGCAGATGGTTTTATTAATATGTGGAAGAAACTGTAAATCATTGTCTTTGATACCTTTTTGAACACTATTGATGTTAGGATAGGTTGTAATATCATCATTTAAGGTTGATATGGCAGGTCTGGGACGTTTTCGTCTGCAGTTTTCGTTGAGTTCATTCTCTTTGTATAACATATGGCTTATATCTAGTATGCTCAATCTTTTGGGAAAGATAAGAGAAGAAACCAGGAAGCACTTCAATATGTTTCTTGACGTTTACATTGTTACTAAACTTTTGCCTGAAATTATAGTGTTATCGGACAATCTGTTCCTGTGTCTTTCAAAACTGTTGTCTGTTGTGTTGCTTTAACTGTTAAACAATATAAGGATAATAACATTTTTGTGTCTGCTAGTTCAAATATGAGCTTCATAAGAATGGTTGGGACACTAAAGAAGTTATGAGAAGTTCTTGTAGATGTCCATGGACAAACACTCGTCGATGTAGCTCTTATTTTTTTTTCCAGAAAACCAAATTAGAGGTGGGAAATGGGTTGAAAATCACATTTTGGGAAGATATTTGGGTAGATGAGGCTGTATTTTGTCAACTGGGCATAATACTTTGCATTGCTAATATGGTTGATGTTTCCTCTTTTCCTTAGGGTTGGAAGTTGGAACCTTAAATTTTTTAGAAACTTAAATGATAAGAGTCTCGTTTAGTCAACATGTTGAGATTCTACAATTGCTTCGAAGTGTTTCTCTTAATGAAATGAAAGAAGATAGTAGGTTATAGCTTCTGAATAGGCCTGGTAAGTTTTCTTCTAAATCATTTTTCAATTATCCCATCGGATCTCCTTCTTCCCTAGCTTGGATTGTACCTCTTAATAAAGTAAATACAAATGATATTAATCAAAAGAGAAGACTAACCTTTTCATTATCTACAAATTGGTGTATTATCTGGAAGAAAAACTTAGGAAGTGTCGACCATCTCTTTTTGAATTGCCCTATTGCCAAATGGTTGTGGAATTTTCTTGCCAAAATGGTGTAAGGCTATTGGTGGAAGTATGTAACTTTAAAAGGTCGTGAGAAGACTATTATTCTATGGGATTACAGTGTGATGAAAATTTTCTGGGTTCTTTGGAAGGAAAGAAAAAAGGCTTTCATATATTTCAACAAAGGATTTTAGGTTGGTGATATATAATTCACTTTTTTTCAACTATAGAATCCTAAATGGATTGAGTTAATGTGTTTATGTAAAATCAAATAACATTATAACCTAAGTAGTAAATTACATATTTCAAGTTCGTTAACTATTTTGAATGATTATTTTGTTATCGTTGCGTCATTGTTATACTCAGGACAAATTACTAGTGATATACGAAACTGCAACTACTTCACTAACGTGATAGGCTGATAGCCCGTATTAATTTGCTAATTGTTTCAATCTCCAAATAAAGCTAACTTCCTTAACTACTATAACTTGTTTCTATTTGTAGCTTCACTCATTATAAAAATTCTCACTATTTTGTAACTTTGTTTCTATTTGTAGCCACACTACTTACATTTTTTCTATTTACGTTTTTTGCTCAGTTGTATTTAATCTGTGATCCCTCTTCACTTTCTAATCACAACGAACTCTTTTTCTCTTTCTCTTCGTCTAATAACAAACACTTTAATTATGGTTGCACAAGTACTGAACCACTTTGCTATTGCATTTTGCATTGCTTTTGTCCTTGTTTCTACCGCTAGTCTAGCCTTAGAATTGAATGTAATTGATAAATGCTGGAGGTGGAACCCTGATTGGACAAACAACCGGCAACAACTTGCCACTTGATCCGTAGGTTTTGCCGGAAAGATGAGTGACAACATTGGTAAAGATACAATCTATTACACAGTTACAAATTCTAGTGACGACCCATTAAACCCTAAACCTGGAACCCTCAGATACGGAGCCACTGTAATCTCTCAAAAAGTATGGATCACTTTTCAAAGGCACATGAATATCCAACTTAAAAAACCACTTGTCATAAGTAGTTTTACTACCATTGATGCACGTGGTTCACGCATTCACATATCAGGCATTGGGTGTCTCTTGATCAATAAGGTAATTAATAACACTAATCTTCTCTTTCAATGTGTCTCATGCAAAAACATATTTAACTAGTTAAACTAATAATTAGTATCCAAATGAATATACAATCATACAAGGACTTTACTATTAATTTATCTTTACCAGGTGAGCAATGTGATCATTCACGGGTTGTATATCCACCATTGTCGATCTGGAGAATCAGGCTCAGTCATGGGTCCAAACTCAAAGATAATGAACTTTGGAGGAATAGATGGCGATGGAATTACGGTGGCTAGAGCTTCAAAGGTTTGGATCGATCACAATACATTATATGCATGTCAAGATGGTCTAATCGATGTCACTCGAGGCTCCACTGATGTTACAATCTCCAACAACTGGTTCAAAAACCAAGACAAAGTGATGCTTCTTGGGCACACTGACGAGTACTCGAGTGACAAAAACATGAAGGTTACTATAGTATTCAACCATTTTGGACCCAATTGTAGCCAACGAATGCCAAGGTGAATGCTTATTAAATTTTAGAACATGGTTTTTTTTTCTAATTTTTAGCCAGAGATAAAACTTTGACATGAAAAATAATGCAGAGTTCGCTATGGATTTGCTCATGTAGCAAATAACTTGTACCAAGAATGGACAAGCTATGCTATTGGAGGAAGCATGAACCCTCAAATCATGAGTGAAGCCAACTTGTTTATCGCGCAAAAATCAGGGAAGAAAGAGGTAACTTCGATATATAATTCGTATAACTATATGTTACTATCATGATGTTGAGTTACAGTTTATGTTTCAGGACTCTAATTTGATAGTAATACTAGAATGTTACATGTAACAAGCATAATGTTATAACGTTATTGGTTCTGACATAATAGTTATATTTATTGATGTTTAATTCAAATAGGTAATATGGAAATTGGGAAGCTCATCAAAAATTTATTCAGTCAGGGATGTCTTTAAAAATGGAGCTTCTTTTAAAGCAACAGGTTCTGGAAGTATACAGCCCAATTATAATGATCAACAAAGATTTCCAGTCGCAAATGCAAAATCTGTGCAGGCATTGACAAATTTTGCAGGTGTTTTAGTATGCTCTTGGTCATCTATATGCTGAGTTGGTCATCAGCAAATTTTAAAGCAAACATCGAGTTGTTTTTATTTTATTTGTACTGTACGAATTGAATTAATTTCTTTACAACAAAATTAATCAACCAATTTTCTGTTGGGATATTGAAAGATGTTGTACTATTTGTGCAGTTATATATTACACTACAATTCGTTCTTTCACATTTACCTCTTCATATTCAAAGTCACATATGCTAAACTTTTCAAGCTTCTAATCACCAAGATAAATCTTCTATTTGCCTCCAAGTTTATATTAAGATGTAGTCTTTATAATTATTTCTTTTAGAAATATTCTGTGTATCCATTTCATGAATGCCGTCTAAGTCTAATTAATTAGCAATACACATTTATACATGAAGCAATATGGCATCTCCAGAGAAGAAACCGTCAAATGTATACATGAAGCAATATGGCATCTCCATAAAAAATGAAAATAATGTTTAACAGTTTAGAGTTTAGTAGTTAATGTTGCTATATTTATGTTGAATCATGTTTTTCGTATTATAATTCATAAAAATTTTAATCCATATTATTTAAATAGAAAACTGATCATATGAAGGAGCTTAAAACAAACTATGTGTTTATGTTAGTTTATAGAGTTAATAACTTTATAGAAATATAAGACATTAAAAGATTCCAGATCTTGAGTAAAATAATGAACATGTTTATAAATCTTTCCTAAAATTTTTGAATATGTATAATATTTAAAAACCATTACTAATAATTTTTAGATACAATATATATATATATACATATATAATATTAAGATATAGTCTTTATAATTATATCTTTTAGAAATATTATCTGCATCTATTTCATGAACGCTGTCTAAGTCTTGATAGCTAATGCTTGAAAGGATGTTAATGAAAAATGCACAAGGATGTCTTGATAAGGATGTTAATTAATCCCCTTGGAGTTTTGGTAAGTATTACGGGAGTCAATATTATTCAATTTAAAATTAACGGATCCCAAAGTCAATTTAGAATTGCTCAACTAGCATTCTTAACACCAGAAGCAGTCTAATTAGTCACGTTAACAGGATAAATTGTTGGATTTGATAAAATATTGGATATTTACCGTTTTTATGGATATATTGAGACCGTTTGGGGAAATTTTCCAAAATTGAGAATGAACAATTTGAGTATATTTTTGGAAAATTTATAAACATAAAGGATTATATTGATATTTCAAGTGTACTGATACATAATTTTTCAGGACAAGGGGGTCAAGTGAACCGCCTTGACACTCCCTAGCTCTATCTTACTATCTATACACCTGCATCAGTACAAGCCAAGCCACCTAGACCATTTGTTGGTCCATCCCCACCACCTCCAAGTCAAAATCTTCACCTAATTCTTCTAAATCGCATCTATTTGTCTATGCATTGATGGATATACATGCACCCTTCAATCACTGTCATTAACGTGACATATGATCAGATAAGCCCATATATGTACATATGGATATAAATGTTTAAAAGAGGTAGAAAATCTACAGACATAGTATGCATTAATTCAAATTTTTGAAGGATTTTAAAAATGAGACATCGCCAGGTTATTCATTAATCCAATACCCCTTTAATCAATTAAATTTAAGTTCAAAATAATGTCTTAGTTCAATCAAGTGTGTGAATCACTTTGATTAAAACTAAGCATATTTATGTTATTTTTAAGCTGGCTCGCTTTAAGTATGTTATTGGTTCTACAATCCAATAAAAACCTGTTATATATGCATGTATTTCTCTTTGATCTATCATTATACAATAATTTATTTTAAGTATGTCAATCTTCTTGAACTTCAATATATGTATGACTGATTAATATGTTATTTGGATTATTAGTCATTTTCTCTAACTTTTATTTTGTTGTGTCAAACTCAATCTCACCGATAATAATTAACGGCAAGAAAAATTGGAAAAAACAATAATACACACAATAATTTACATGGTTTAGCTTTTTAACCTACGTCAGGCAAAGATAAAAGAAGAATTTTATTAATAAAATGGAGTATACAAAAATTTGGTGAAAATTCTCCAAAAACTCAAGTCTCAAATACACCCAATATCTCTCATACACTCTAATTTGGTTTTTTCTCAAACTCAAGCTTTGGATCTCTGGTGTTTGTATTGCTTAAAAGATGGCGAGAAAAGGGAGAGTTTTTTCATCGACCTTGCTAGAAGTATTTTGCAATGATATTGAGACAAAGGAGATGGATAGATGGAGATTGAGATGGGAGAGTTCTTCAATGAAAATCGTGATGATGGAATGTTGATGTTTACTTGTATCTCATGATAGTGATAATATTAGAAACACCTTTATTATTGAAGGAATTGAGCTTAGACCTAAATATGCTACGTATATAGAATTATGTCTTCAACATAAACATCTTCTATAAACATGTTTATGTCAAGATTTAAAGTTTTTTTTAGTGTTTTGTACGCATTAACTTTGTAAATGTAATTTTCTGTTGTGAATTTGAGTTCCATTCGATTCATCTAAAAGGTAAAATATGAAAATTATGTTGAATCTTGCAATTCTAATATAAAAATGCATCATTTTTTTTCCATTGTAGATTTAATTACTTTCAAAATCCTCGGCCTCATTATTCATCTACCTCGTATACCTAAAACTCTTGGCTTAAGATAGAGAGGTTGAGATGCTGCAACTTTTGGGAAGTCCGTGTTAGTGCTACTGCTAGATGTTGTAATGCCCAGGAAGATGTTTGTGCAGATTTTGTGCTTTAGGCCGTGGATCATGCTGGACAGGGGACGATTTGGGCTCCTGCTGTGCTTTGGATCGTGGTGGGCTGGGCAATCATTTTGGACATCAGCCTCATGTTATTTTGTATAGATTTTTAGAGCTTGGTTGGCTAGGCCTTATTTTGTGTGGGCTTGAGTGGCGGGTAGAGCATAACCAGGTTTTCTCTTTTGGGCCTCCTAAGCTATGTTTTTTGTATAGCCTTCTTCTGAGCCTTGTGCTTTCTAAAGGCTTTGATTTGAGCTTTGTATTTGATCGTTAGCGGTGTTTTGGCTATTGACGGCAAGTGTTCTAGCCGTTGACGACCATAATTTGGTCATCAATGATGACTAGATATATTTGATTTTCTGGCCTTTAACGGTGACCAAAGGTCGTAGATCTGACCTTTTTCGATCAGTCAGATCCGACTAATCTTGTGCCATTCTAGCATCGGTGGATAATCGCCGACAGTGGTTTCCAACAGTCGATGGCTAGTAGTGGTGGCTAGATCCACCCTTGGGTAATTTTTTCAAAGTATAGGCGTATTTATGTCTTAAAAATTTTGTATATAAGGATAAAATAGTTTTTTGAATTTTTTTGTAAATTTTTTTCAAAACAAGGGTGTTATAGTCCAAAAATTTTAATAGTTAAGGGTAAAATTGTAACAAAATAAGATTACCAAGTAATCTTAAAATACCTAAGAAAATGGAGGTAATCAAATTCCCTCTCATATTACCAACAATAATTACTATTGGTTTTAAAAAATTATCGAAATCTTATATTACTAGACAACCAAATGTGGTAATCAAGTAATATAAGATGACATTACCTCAGTAATGATAGATTACTCCCAACCAAACACACCTTTAAGGGTTTCTATAACTACATCCATATCACAAATTTATAAGAACAAGGAATACACACTTAAGAGTTTTGGAAACAAAAGATAACTAAGGGGGTCTTTTAGTAAAAACTAATACTATTGGGGTTAATTGTTATTTTCCTAAAGAATAAATTCCAATCATTACGTATCAAATACAGATACAATTCCAATCATTGCATTTCTGTCAATAAATAACAAACTGCTTCGCCAATAAATAACAACTCTCAATCACTTTGACCCTTCTGAAAAAATATCTCAGCCGAGCTTTCAGAGACGTTTTTGGCAGTGAAATGGAGAATACGAGTGTTGATGTTCTGCCCGTAGATTGCTTATCGAAAATCATCTCCCTCACATCGCCTCGCGATGCCTGTAGATTATCAGCGGTGTCCCGTCTCTTCAATTCAGCTGCAGATTCCGAAGTCGTTTGGGACACGTTTCTGCCCTCTGATTACAAGGATATCGTTTGTAATTCCGCCTCCTCCGAGCTCCTCGCCACTTGCTCCTCCAAGAAGAATCTTTATTTTCATCTTTGCCGTAACCCCATCATCCTCAACAATGGTACCATGGTAAGCAGTTTAAACTATATAATAATTAAGTATTTAATAAATTTTATATTATTATGTTATGGTGGGTATTGTACTTTTGAGTAGTTTTGCAGTGAAAGGTTAAGCTTTTAAAGTTATCGGTCTGTTGTTGAAAATGGTAGTTTATGTTCTTTGCATATGTAATTCTTGTTGCTTCTGGGGATTAGTCGAACAACTTTTAATTTGGGAGGTATTTTGAAAATTTTATCTTCCAAGTTTCTGAATAAATGCCCATGTGAGCACTTATGCAAAGATGAACTATAACTGATTGAACTGTAATGGCTCTAGAGTTTATATGATAAGTGAGTTAATCAATGTTGCTTAAAGATGATTTTCAAAATTATTACTTCTAAATTTTAATCTCTTGTTCCTGTTTAAGTAGGGACACGGACTCAGAACTTAACTTTAGATGGGACAATTTCTAAATAATAGAATATAAAATAGGAGAAAAGTAAATGAGTTGAGTTAGATATTGAAACATTAATACAAATATAGGATGATCAAAATAAAAACTAAAGCATATTTATGAAAAAATATTTTGACTGGGGTCACCAGCCCCCACTCATCAATAGGTGGGTCCGTCCATAGCTTTAAGAACTGAATTCTCTTGTGAGATGGGAATTTCGACCTTAAGTGATACTATTGATGAAGGGCATTTCTCCCATAAATAATTTAAATGAAGTAGAAGAAATGATGGACATTTATGAATATCTATATTCACGGGGATATTTTCAGCAAATATGCCGTGCCAAACATGGTGGTTTGCATATGGTCCATTCAAATATAGGATCTGGACTTGCTAAGTACTATCTGATTAGTTACATCAAATGATCCATGAGTTCACCTACAAAACATTCAAATTTATGCATAAACAATATACTCCGCTTTCAAATGCCCTGTTCAAATATTTGATTGTATGGAGGAAATTAGAATCCCTCAAATTTGATTAAACTTAAATCTTACTGCTATCAAGTCTGAAAGCGCCGAAACTTAACATTGTCATTCTTTGACTTAAGAGTTTTTCACTGGAGAAAGAAAGCGGAAAAAAATGTTACATGGTTGCGGCAAGACAGCTTGTTATTAGATGGTTATGCAGAGAAAAACCTCAATGGTGGAAATGGCAATCTCTGCATGAATCCAGGTGTGTTGTTTCTCTACCGTCTTTGTATTTGTTTCACAGGTTTCTGATTATGCTGTTATAACACTACAATTTTATTCCATACTCAAAATGAGATTTCAATTTACTCAAACAGCATAAATATTTTGAAATTCTACATATCTTCTAAGAAATTCTAATTCTGGAAATAAGTTTCCTTACTGATGATGTAGATGGTAATTTAGTATGAGTTGTGTTGTGTGTATATATCTATGCAATTACAGGTTCGATGAAGTGGTTGAACTACTGATGCATGTGTGGTGGCTCGATGTGAAGGGAAGGATAGAAACCAAAATTTTGTCCCCCAGAACCACCTATGCGGCTTATTTTGTGTTTAAGCTTTCAAAGTCTGGAAATGAGTATGAAAGAATAGCTTTACAATTTGGTGTGTATTTTGAAGGAAGAGATAATGGGAAAAGGCGTGTCATGTTTCTTAATCCTTCAACAAATGCATCTCAACTTTGTCGAGACAGAGGAGATGGATGGATGGAGATTGAGATGAGTGAATTCTTCAATGTAAATGGCGATGAAGGAACCTTGTTGTTTAGGGTATTTGATTTCCATGGATTCTGCACTAAGCATGGCCTCATTATTGAAGGAATTGAGCTCAGGCCTAAAAATGGTAGATAAAGTCAATTATATATGTCTTGAATACAGACCTTTTTTGTGATAAACAGGTTCTGGTTAAGATGTAATTAATCTCTTTGTGAGCATAAATGGCTACGTCAAAAGAACAAAGTGGATTTGTTTATGCTTCCTTATGTATTAGTTGGTCTCATTTAAGTAATTCCTAGTCTGGAAGCATATTGGTTCTTATATATGTGTATTTATATGCATCATTTTCTAGAAAGCATGGAATTCTCCCTCATGTACATGTATGTCAAGGTTAATAATAGTAATCCCTCTTAGTTATAATTAAATAACAAAAATCCCCTCGTCGTTAAGTTTTTGGTGTTAAAACTTAAAACAAATGGTAAATGAGTAATTAGGTAGATATTCATCAACACATCGTATTGTAAGATCTAAGGGCGCATTAACAGTAAAAGGATTTATGTTATTTATGAAAGTAAACAGGGGGTCAAGAAAACGAGGTGGGGTCAAATCTAAAAATATTAATACAAATACATGGTGGTGAAAGCAAAAATAACAAACCAAATCGATGAAAACAAAAATTTTGAGTCACTCATCAATATTTAGGTACGTCCATGATCGGATTAATTGATGTCTCTTTGTTTTTCACATAAAACTATATATATGACCACGCTAATGAATAAATGGGTGTCCATTTGATCAGTAATCACATAATGATTAGGCTAAATGAATATACAAGTCTCACACGTGATTGGACATAAAGTGCACGTGTGATTAAATGCTTAGCACACATGTGATTAGGTGTAGATTTTATTTAGATTTAACATGAATCAATAAATAGATAGAGGACATACTATATGTCATGGTTCGGCCAACATTTTGTCTATGTCCAAGCCCACAACTACAAATCCATTGCGGTAAGGATTTTCTCTATGGATTTGGATCTCTTGTTCGTTTGAAGGACCTAAAGACACACGGTGTAAGACCCTTACAAAGGGCAAGGGCAGGCATGTGGCTTTCATCCTTAGCCACAGCCTCGCCAAGACAACACATGGGTGTGTGTTGAACAAGGATGGCTGAGATCAGCCGTCGGGTGTTTGAGTGTTGGGACTCAAACACTTTACTGATGAAATGGCTTGCAGGTGTGGGCACTTGCAAGTTGTAACATGTGCGTGTGGGCATGTTTTAACATGGGCGTGTGTGCTCATGAGCAGGCTAGACAGTGGCACACGAGCTGGGACGTGTGCAAGCATGCAAGACAACTAACGGGCGGCTGAGTTCATGCATGAGACAGAAAGTTACATGCGTGAGGTGCATGTGAGTGTGCACTAGATGATGGAAACAATCAGACAAGGCTGCATGGTTGCTGGACCAAGGCTGTGGGGCAGTTAGATGTGTCCATGTTCATTTGTATGTAAACCAACTGTCATGTAACTGCTGATAAGATTGTAAAACTGTTATGTAACTGCTGTGCCATTTGTATTTAAGGCTGGCAGATGTCACATTCGTGAGATAGAGAGTGAGAGGGCAAGGGTTATGTGTTTGTAAGCCTTGTTGTAACTTGAGTGCAAATCTGTGAGTGAGGATCAGATTGTAAACAGTGGGGAAACGCTCTGTGTGTATGCTGAGTTGTCCTTGTATTCAGAAATATAATAGGTGGGATTTCCCGTATATGTTGTGCATTGACTTCTTTAGCCTTGTTGTATTGTGTTTGTGATTTGTAACAGGGGGAACGCATAACTTGAGGTAGGCTTACAAGTGCTCGGTGTGCTGTTGCCGTGCAGTGCCTAGAGGCGAAAAATAGGCTCTGTGACAGTGGTATAGAGCCCGGTTTTAACCAGGTTCGTTCTTGTATTTATTTATTGTTATTCATGCCAAAAAGGTTGACATGGACGCTGTGAGGGAACGATTGACGCGGTTAGAGGAGATGCTGGGTGAGATTCAAGATGGCCAGGGTATGACCGTCAATGGAAGACTTGATCAGGTTGATCAAAGTTTCGAAATTCTCCATAAGCAATTTATGGAAATGGTGGACCAAACCAACAGGGATTAGAGGCCATAGAGGATGACAATGCCTTGCTGAACATGCCCTTCCTCATAGTCTTGATGGGGGAAGTAAGCCAAGATAAGAGTGCCCGAACCAAAGGCGTTTCAGGGTGCTAGAAACGCAAGGAGTTGGAAAATTTCTTGTGGGATATGGAGCAGTACTTTGAGGCAGTGAAAGTCCCTGTGTGGAGAAGTCTCGATCACTAGCATGATTTGGCTGGTGATGCGAAATTGTGGTGGCGCACAGACTAGCAGATGATGTGAGTGCGGGTAGACCCAAGGTTGATACTTGGGAGAAACTAAAGAAGGAATTGAAGGATCATTCTTGCCGGGGAACACATCATGGAAAACTGCCCTGGGACCCGCATGAAGAAACTCCAACAAAAGGGTACTGTGAGGGAGTATGTCAAGGAGTTTAGTTCCTTGTTGTTAGACATACAAAATATGTCCGAGGAGGACAAATTGTTTAACTTTATGTCAGGTTTGCAAGGCTGGGCGCAAGTGGAATTGCGAAGGCAGAAGGTGCATGATCTGCCTAGTGCTATTGCTGCAGCAGATGGGTTGATTGATTTCAAATATATCAAGGAGAGAGATCTTGTTGTTGCAACGAAAGCCAAAAAGAAGGACAACCGGGAATTTAAGGGAAGCAAGAAAAAGGACTTCCACTTTCAGAAAAGAAATTCTGCTAGTGAAAAGGGGAAGGCCGTTGCTACCAGTAGTTTTTCCAAGGAGAACAAAGAGGGAAAAATGATGTTCAGTTGTTTCATATGTGGAGGGCCACATAGGGCAAGGGATTGCCCAAAGAGAGAGAAGTTGAATGCTTTGATGGGTGAAGAGGGAGAGTCTAGTGGTGAGCAAGTCACTATGAATCCGATGCAGTTGATGAATGCTATGAGGGCAGAAGCGGATTCAAAGCAAAACAAGGGTGATACTTACCTTGGAGTTGTGAGCAAGGGTGCTGCTCGAAATGCTCTACTGTTTGTGGAGTTGAAAGTGAGGGATAACCAAGTTAAAGCTTTGTTAGACACAGGAGCAACTCATAACTTTGTGGCAGATCGGGTTGTTTCCAAGTTGGGGCTAGCACTTTCCAAGAGTCCTACAACAGTGAAGGCTGTGAATTCGAGTGCACGTGGGGTGACTGGAATAGCTTACAACGTGCAGGTTGGTGTGGGCTGCTGGACGGGTAAAATTCATTTAACTGCTGTTCCTTTAGATGATTTTGATGTTATTTTGGGAATAGATTTTTTTAAAGCAGCCAAGGTATCGGTGGTGCCTAACTTGAATGGCATGATGATTAATCATGAATCAAGTCCCTGTTTTGTACCTTGCTGTTCACTTGGAGTGAGTAGCAAGCCAGGACAAGCTAAGCTTACTACTATCTCAGCCACGGCAGTAAAGCGTGGGCTAAAGAAAGGGCAGGAAACATATTTGGCAGCGTTGATAGAAATCAAACCTGATAAGAAGGTTGAAGTGCCGAATGCAGTGGCAGAATTGTTAGAAAATTTTGCTGATGTTATGCCACGGGAGTTGCCCAAAGAACTTCCTCCAAGACGAGCAATTGATCACAAGATTGAGTTGGAACCAGGGGCGTTCCCACCTGCTCGTCCACCTTACAGAATGTCACCCATGGAGTTGAAAGAACTCCGAAAACAACTTGATGATTTACTTGATGTAGGTGCAGTGAGAACATCAAAGGCTCTGTATGGTGCTCCTGTGTTGTTTCAGAAGAAGCAAGATGGTTCCCTTCGGATGTGTGTGGATTATAGGGCATTGAACAAGGTGACAATTCGGAACAAGTATCCTGTTCCCTTTTTTCAAGATCTCCTGAATAGGCTGAGTGGAGCTTCAGTTTTCACTAAGTTAAACTTGCGATCGGGATATTGGCAAGTCAGAATTGAGGCAGGAGATGAGCCCAAAACCACTTGTGTGACCAGGTATGGGTCTTATGAATTCTTAGTCATGCCATTTGGCTTGACAAATGCACCGGCTACATTTTGCAATTTAATGAATGATGTACTGTATGAATTCTTGGATGAGTTTGTGGTGGTATATTTGGATGATATTGTGATATATAGTCGGAATGTGGATGAGCATTTGATTCATATGAGAAAGGTACTAACGCGGTTGAGAGAACATCAGTTGTATGTGAAAATGGAGAAGTGTGAGTGTAAAAACAGAAAAGAAAGTGCACTCTTTGCATTTGTGCTATGCGATACCATTTCTATATCATGAGTTGTGAGAAACTAGAGCAGAGAAGAAGAGAAAAGTTGCATGTAAGGAAAGAAATCAGAATAAGAGCCGCGAAGATAGAATGGTAGCAAGCCGGTTTATAATGAGCAATTAGTGCTCGCCCCGTTTGTTTAATGTTTTTGCAGGTAGTAGATGAGATCTGGTCGGATGGAGCATCAAGAAGCGGAAGGGTCTGGCAACACTGTCGAGTTTATTGTTTTTGAGTAATTTTATTACTTAATGTACAGTTTTGTAATAATGAAAAATTAGCATGGGCCCTCTATTTTATACTCATCTACATGTATATTTTCTATATTATATTTTAGTGAGTTTTATGTATATTTCGCAGCTATACTAGCTAGAGAAAGAGAAGCATTCTAAGGACCCTTATCGGAAGGCCCCACCGGCTTCAAGAATTGTAGAAGCAGCTTCAGGAACTCGTAGACAAGGGTTTTTTCGACCTAGCCATTCTCCTTGGGGTGCTCCAATTTATTTGTAAAGAAGAAAGATGGATCCTACGGATGTGTATAGATTATGAGAGTTGAATAAGTGACGATGAAATAAGTACCGTTTACCCAAATAGATGAATTGTTTGATCGACTGAAAGGAGTAGCAGTGTTTTTAAAGATTGATTTGAGGTCGGGTTAATCAAGTAAAAGTTGCGGAGCAAGATATTGCCAGAACTGCTTTCCAAACTAGATATGGGCATTATGAGTTTGTAGTGTGTCTTTTGGGTTAACCAATGCCCAGAGTCTTTATGGACTTAATTAACCAAGTGTTCTAGGATTGTCTTGACAATTATAGTGATGTTATTGATGACATCCTGGTTTATTCTAAGACAAACGAGGAGCGAAGAACACTTAGATTTGTGCTATAGCGATGAGAGATAAGAAGTTGTTTGCCAAATTTGCTAAGTGTGAGTTTGGCTAGATCAAGTCATCTTCCTAGGTCCTACTGTCTCAAAGGAGGGTATATCAGTGGATCCTAGTAAG